ATAGTGATGCCAGCCTGACAGGTAACGCTTACAAAACAAAATCATAAGAGCATCCGAGTGTATAGCACGATCTCCTTCGCGGGCACATCGCAGAACGGTGCAACTATCAGGAGCATTCTCGAGCCGCTAAAACACCACTTTCTGATTTCAGCTGTGCTCACATAATAAAAAAAAACAAGTACAGCTCGACTATTCACCTTGAACTGCTCTATGAAACGCTCCTTCAAACCAACTTCCCACTTCTCAGAGAAATCCAATGGAGCAAAACTGCTGAGAAGACGGGAGCGAGCAACTGAACTCATTGTTGTAGATTCAAGGAATAATTTCACAATTCTTCATTAATCGTCTCCTGCTCCTTACTCTTCGCAGTTCGGCAGCCAGGAACCGCTTCGTTAGCTTACGCAATCTCAAGCAGAAGAGGACTTTTATTATTTTGAAATAGAAACTGAAATCTTTATACTAAATTCCTTAGTGACACATCAAATCGAATTTTTGTAGTTTTGATCCTCCTCCGACTTTTCTTAGTTCATTGCCAATAAGAAATTGCCGCCTCCCTTGGGTTGTGAAACATTCACAAGAAATACTGTTCACGTGAAGCACTTGAAGGACACTATACGACGACGGAACTGCTTATAGGCAATGCTCGCTTTCGAGCAATTTGTAGGTCCCTCCCTACGTACAAGTGGTCTACCAACCAGTCTCTAAAATTATCCCACTTTCGGGGCTTCGTCGTAATTAACAAGGCGCTGTGGATTTCATAAGTGGCAGTTCTGGTGCCTCCCCAGTTTTTCCCTCTCTCTGAAACGGGAAGGCTATTTTCTGTAACGAGTTGAGTTTTTACACCGCAAGCCAAGGAACGATTAATGAGCCAGAGGCATCAGGATGTCGCTTTGCTGGAAAAAGGGAGCAGGTCCGAACTCGCCCAGAGGGGCTGCCAGGTGCCTACGTTCTCCATGATTTTGTCTACTTTTTTCGAATTCAGCGACTTTATATTTGTGAAAGAACGCTGCTTTCCGCAATATACAATCGTGAAGTCTGCCTTTGAGCGACTTTCCAGAGGGCTTTAAAGAAGAGGGACTACGCTTCGTTTGTTCGAAGGCAAGTTAGCAACATAGAAGCAAGTAGCCCGAGAAATCGCCAAAGAACACACCTCCATCGCGTACTGTCGAACTTGTACAGAATAGTGCTGATGAGATGGATCAAGCCTGAAACGTTTTCACAGTGGTCTTACAAATGCATACTGCACTCCAATTTCCGGTACTGTGACCTACCGCATTTGTTTCAGCGCTGTGCGGACAATCTCAGTGAGCGCCAAATCACCGTAGATGGTCGAGAAAAAGGTCTGTGAAGTGTTTGGCCGATCAAATGCCACACGAATAGTAAATGGAGGTTGATCGCCTTTTAGATGAGATTTCAAATTCTGAAAGTAACTTTTAGCAAGCTATACTGAGAGCCACCACAGATGTGTATAACTGTGCCGCTTACCGGAGGTTCCGTGAACATGTTGCGATTGGCGCCACCAAACTTCCCGAGGACACGTACCGCTGTTGCTACCGATTGCGGTTCCACAGACTTCCCAACGATTTTGTACAACCCTAAATATGGGCACAAACATGAAAATATCATCCATGAACCCTCACTCAAAAAAGGAACTGCTTCAGTTCACATCAGAAGACAGCCTGTGAAGGCATAGTCTGCTGGCCGCATCTGTGGAGAAATAAAAATTGTGCCGTCTCCACTGACGCGATCTTCCTCCTCACCGCCTTAGAGGGAGGGAGCACGTGTGAGAAAGACACAATGGTAGGTCCCGCTTCACCTACACGACCAGCTTGGGATGTACCTTCAAGGAGAGTCTGTTAATCTTTGGACAGCTCTCAGAAACATCCCGAATAGGAATAATCCTTGCACCGCTCCCAACAATATTTATCAGGTTTTGCTGCAACAGTTTCGTAACCCTGTTTCGATGACTTATGTTCACATACACTCAAATCCCTGATGGCGGACGTGGCTGTCTACTTGAAGCAAACGTGGCGATGACTGTGCTTTTGGAGACAAACATTTATGAACTTTCACTTTGGCCCACCCATATCGGCGGTGGGTTCAGAGTTATCGGCTCCAACTACAGGAGAAGGTATGTCTCCTCTC